TGCTTCCCTGCTCTGCGGGTGTAGTTTTCATGGTGGTGGTTTTATCAGTACCCCTACTGTCTTCAGTTACTGTACTCGATGACAGAAGCGTAGTTTGTTCTGTACCAGTGCGGACGGTGGTCTGTTCTGTCTTACTTGTGTTCAGTGCTGTGGTGAGCTCCAAAGTTCCCCTGTGCCCAGTGGTAGTAATTGTTGACATTGTGGTCTCTTCAGTGCTTCCTGTTGTAGTACCTCTCCCAGTACTCGTTGCCATGGTGCCAAACGATGTACTAGTAGTTTGCATGGAGGTAGATGGTGGTACTGTGGCCTTTTCCGTAGTGCCTGTATCTTTCTCGGTTGTTTCTTCAGCGATTGCCGTTGTCACTTGAAGGTATGTTGTTTCTTCCGATGTACCGAGTTCTGCAGACGCTGATGTAGCTTCCATGGTGCTTTCCGTGGTCCCGCGCCTTTGTGTGGTACTTTGCGTCGCAGTGCTACCATACGTTGTTGGAGGTACGGTGGTTTCACCCGTTGTACGACGTGTCGATGATGTAGCTGTAAATACTGTTGTTTCGTCAGTGGTACCAGTTGCCTCGTTTGCAATTGTCGCTGCAGTAGTTTCCCCTGTCGAGCCTTTTGTGTATGTCGCTGTAGATACCATGGTGGATTTCTGTATAGTAGTCCTACCAGTTGCTGTGTTGATGGTAGTTTCCTCTGTGTTGAGTGTAGTAGCTGGTGGCGTTGAGGTTTCTTCCGCAGTACCTAGGTCAAGCGATGTAGTAAGAACCATCGTTGTAGTTTTCCTTGCTGTGCCAGATTGAGTGGTTGTACCCGGTAATAAAGTCGTTGTCTCGGCCGCACCTTGTCTTGTTGTAGCTTCTGTAGTTGTCTCAGTGGAGGTCTGCGACGTACTTGTTTCCCTTTCAAAGATACCAGTTGTTTTGACTTCCATGGTGATGACTTCTGTGGTACCAGGTGCCGCAGTAGCTGTTGTTTCTCCAGTCCCCCTTTCTGTGGTAGAACTTCGTCTTTCTGCTGTAGCCAAGGTTGTCCCAGTACTTGCTCGCGTAGTCAACGTTGTTTCTTCTGGAGTATTCATAGTCGACGATGTGCCAATGGTTACCGCAGTAGTTTGATCAGTATTTGTGGTGTCGGTCTTTGGCATAGTAGTCATGTCAGTAGCACCTT